TCATATACTCCTTCAGCTACCACCTCATGGTCTCCTTCCCTTTGTATGAAAGTCTTCAAAAGGGTTGTCAATACTTACTGCCTCCAAACTATCTTCTCCTGTGCTCCCTTGAACCAGATGGATTTGCCTCCAATATGCTACCGAGATCATCAGTTAATAATTACTTATGCTGCTAAGAGCAAAGATCAATTGTCATCTTGTCTGACCCACGGCAATACCCAATACAACTGAGCGCTCCTTTGGTGCGCCTTCATTGTCTTCCAGATTATTGTACTTGCCCCGTGCTGTCCTCCTCTGGATCACTTAGGAGTATCTTTTGCTGGTTCCTTCTCCAGATTCTGATCTCTAAATACTTAAGGCCCCACATCTCAATGCCCTGAAACCATCTGTGGTCTTGTCTAGCTATACTCATTCTCTGATGCTATCTCAGCTGGTGTCCTGATTTTGAATACTTGCACATATAAACTGTTGATCATTCCCCAAGTTGATCTCTAGCCCTGAACTCCAAACCAGTGTTTCAACTACCTCCTTAAGTTCTCTACTGAGATTTCTAAGTGTCTCTAATTTAATAAATCTCGAGGTGAGCTCCTAATCTTTCTTTCAAAGTTGGTTCCATCTCTAGTCTCTCTCTCACAGTGGTGAATGGCAACTCCATACTTTCCAGTGGCACAGGCCAAAGGCCACGTGCACCTGGTACAGAGGCAGAGCGTGTAGGCTCAACTCTCCGAAATGTGCAATTCCGCTATGCCCACCACTTTCATGTCACCACCGTGGTGAAAGTCACCATGCTGTCTTGCTGGATTATTAAAATAGCTTCCTAGGGGCCAGGTGGTGATAAAAAGAGACGCTCTGCAAGGCAATTCGATCTGCAAAGGCCTCCAGCCAAGTCTGGGGACCTCCCTGAGTATGCCAGGAATGTGCATGCCACGGTCATGGCCAACTGAAAGCCAGGGGTGGCTCTCTCTCAAGGAATATGTTTCAAAAACAAAACTTCAGCATAGCTTCTAAATCACCTCCCTGCCTCTGCCCTTGCCTTCTCGGCAGCCTTTCCCTAAACAGCCGAGGGAATACTAGCATTGTGAGGTGTAGATGAGAATGTGTCACGCTTCTGCCTCAAGCCCTCCGTTAGCTTTCCATCTCAATCAGAGAAAGAGAAGTGAGAATGATAGCCTTCCAGATGTCTCTGTTTTGCTCCATCACCCTTCTGAACTCACCTCCTGTCATCCTCTCACTATATCCGTTCACCAAGGCCACACCGGTACCCGTGCTGTCCCTTCAACAAGGCGGGCACCATCCTGCCATGTGGTAAGAGTTTGCTCAAAGACGCAGAACCACCAGGAGTGACCTGGCATGCTGGGTAAATCGGAGGACTCTGACCACGAGAATGGAAGTTCACACCTGAATGTTGCTTCTGCAGCCAATGCTGGTTCTGAAGTCAGCGGGAAACTGGGAAGAAAAGACAGACGTGAGATGGGGGAGGCCAAGCACAACAGAGAACCCTCGAAGAGGAGCCAGAGCCAATGACAAAGTGGAACCGCAGGACCTCCTCCGAAGCCACAGAGAACTCATCACATTCAAACTAATTTCTGCACTGCTATGACTTGTTGATGAAGTCAGTGCCTTTGTGTGTGTGTGTGTGTGTGTGTGTGTGAAGTTAACAAGATCCTGACCCAGAAGTTGCAGAAATTGAGGGAGGACATTGATCAGAAGCTGGAAGAGCTGTGGTCCTTGCTGTGGCCTCGTGTGGGCAAAACAGACCAGCTTTGAGAGGGGCCGCAGGGCATCCGGTCTGCATCAGTCTTCGAAGCAAAACAAGACCGCTGCTTCACTTCCATACTCCCAACCACGGGCAAAGTTCTCTCATGGCCAGCCCTGGCTAAGAGCCACATGTGGAAGTTATTTAAAATTTGGGGCCAGCAGATGGCATGGTGGTTAAGGGTGCTGGACTCCCACATGGCTGGACCTGGCAGCTTGCTTTCTCACTTTCTCTCTCTCTCACTCTGTCCCTCTCTAGTCAAATTAAAATTAATAAATAAATAAAATTTAAAAAGCAAAATAAAATGAGCTTAGCAAAGCTGACATGGCACAAAGCTCTCAGACCTCCCTTTAAGCTTGGTATTTCATTCTTCCCTTGGCCTGTAATACCATCCATTCACCCCCTAATGTCACATGTCCTTCGAGGTTTACTCAAGAGACCTCTTTCCTGGCTACCCTATCTAAAGTTTCATTTCCTTTTAGATTTTTCAATGCTTAATTTTTTCTCCCAAGTACGTATCACAATCTAACATACCATATATTTTACTTATTTATTTTTTATATTATTTATTTCCCCTGCTGGAATAAACTGCCCAGAGGACACACATTTTTGTGTTTTTCCTTCATTTCTCATCCTTAGTGCCAAGAATAGTGCCTAACACATGGTAGATGCTCAATAAATATTTGTAGAATGAATTAATGAATCCAGAAAGTTTTCAGAGGAAAAGATAAATAATATGCATGCGATTAGGAATTAGAATAGTGCTGTTTCTGAGAAAGTCCATGGGGAAATTCTTTGAAATTCTGAGGGAAAATGGTGGTTATGGAAACACATGGCCAACGTGTTTCACATCCTGGACCGAGAGGCTTGAAAACCACGCTGGGCACATGTGAGTGCCTGCCTGAAATCCCGGAATGAGAATATGAGAATGGAGAAGAAGGGATTACAGCTTGGCCATCCCCCAAGGGATGGTTTCTCACTTCCCTTCTCTCTGTCTCTCTCCAGTGAGTACATACGTCCTGTAGAAAAAAAAAAAGGGAAAAAAAAGAAATGCATAAAAATGTTTAAATGAATTTCTGAAGTACGTAATCATTTTAGTGTTCATAGCAATTATTCATAATATTATGTCACGTTTGCTAATTGGAAAATGAGTTCGTAGGTACTTGAATGTCATGATTCATTTTTTCGAGAAATATAATTTTTCTGCTTCTCTGCTCATGTATTTGATATGAAATCTGAACTTGCATAGCTTGCTGGTCTGGGAAGAACGATGAGTGTTTCTTACTTTGACATATGTGCATGACATCATTTAAATGAGGCTCCACAATATGGTAGAAAGAGCGTAAGTTATGAGCCAAACATATCGGTACGTCATGTCCAGAGCGTGAATGGAACATGAAAACAAATGGTGTGTCGTGTGGCAGATACAACAAAACACTTACATTTCCTTATAGCCTTTCTATGAGCCCTATGTTTATAGATGGGTTATAAAGGAAATAATAATCTAATAGCTTGAAAGTCACGCCAGGTGCATGTGCGTGTGTGCCCAAGATCCTGGGAGGAGAAGGGGTTGTGGCATGGCCATTTCCCCTGGGGTGACTTCTCACTTCCCCTCTCAGTGTGTTTCTCTCCCTCTCCAGCGAAGCACACGTGCCCTAAGGCAAAAACCTCCAAAAACAAAAAGTCAGTTCGGCCCAACGTCTGTAACACAACAGTGACAACCAAGCCACTCTACAGCAAGCTCATCAGTGAGTCGCCTTCATCAGACCTCTGCAGACCCTCTCACTGCAGCTTCTCACGCCAACGTGCGAGCAGTCCAGTCTTCGGGGACAAGTAGATAGCAGAGATGCTGTAACGCACCTGCCAAGGGCTGGTGCGAACGCACTCCAGTGCGGGGACGTTTTCCCGAGCACACTGCGTGGACTCTTACGCAAGCCAGAGGCGGTGCGGGGCGCCCATGGGTCCCGCCAGGCAGTGGCTTAGTGCGGTAGTGCTTGGGGAAGTCGCTGCTGGAACCGGCGCTGGCCGCGGTGCTGAACCCGTTCCCGGCCGTCCCGACCGCGGCTGGCGGGAAGGGACCTCGAGGGTTCTGAGTGTCCCGCAGCTGGCTGTCAGATACATCGGGCGTTGGTCCGTGGCTCTGAGTCCGGCAGTCACCTCGCGAGTGGAGGGGCGCCGCTGTCCCCCTACAGTCACCCCAAAACAGCAGCGCAGCCGGCGTTTATCTGCTGAGTGACACCGGTGCCCGACCTTGACACCACGCCCGGCAGTCCGCACCGAGGCGCC